TTCATAGATCTTAAGTCCCTTGTGCCCATTTGCAGTCTTTGTCTACCAACCACTTAACTGCCCTCTGTCACTCTCAATCCGGCTAGCCTTTACTAAAACTGTTTGTAGAGATAGAATTGTACAGTATGTTCCTTTTTGTGCCCAGCTTCTTTGCTAGCATTATGTATTTGAGATTTATTAATATTATGTATATATGCCTTTTAATTGTGGTATAGCAACGTATTGTTTGAATACAGTGCAGTTTGCTTATTGGGTTATTGGGTTATTTCAAATTTGGAACTATGGCACAATGAATAAAATTGCTATGAAGTTTCATTTACAAGTTCTGTGTGTGTGTGTGTGCGTGTGTGTGTGTGTGGATTTGCTTTCATTTTGCTTGAGTGGAGTGTAATTGTTGAGTCATTTGGTTAGTTTGGGTTTAACTTTATAAGATGCACTTAAATTTTTTCCCAAGAGAATGAACCATTTTACATACCCACCAGGAGTATGTAAAAGTTCCATTGCTCCACAATCTTGTTAACATATGACATTGTCAGTCTTTAACTTTGCTATATTAGTGGGTATGCCGTAGGATCTTACTGTGGTTTCAATTTGTCTTTCTCTGATAATTGTGGTATTGAATATCTTTTCATGTGCTTAATGGCCAATCATATATATTATTTTGCAAAATGTTTGATTAAACCTTGTGCCCATCTTAGAGGGGAGGAAGTAGGGTGTGTGGGTGTTTGTCTTCTTCATTCAATAAATATTTGATGAGGCCTGCCTGGTGTGGTTCAGTTGTTTTGGAGTATTGTCCCATAAACCAAAAGGTCATGGGTTTGATTCCCAGTCAGGGCACATTCCTAGGTTGTGGGTTTGGCCACCAGTCAGGCATGTGCAACAGGCAACTAATAGATGTTTCTATCGCACATCGATCTGTCTCTCCTTTTCCTTTCTTTCTTTCTTTCTTTCTTTCTTTCTTTCTTTCTTTCTTTCTTTCTTTCTTTCTTTCTTTCTTTCCTTCCTTCCTTCCTTCCTTCCTTCCTTCCTTCCTTCCTTCCTTCCTTCCTTCCTTCCTTCCTTCCTTCCTCCCTTTCTTCTCCTTTCCTCTCTCTCTCTCTCTCTCTCTCCCCCCTCTGTAAAATCAATAAACATCTCCTTGGGTCAGGATAAAAAAACATAATAAATAAACAAACAAGCAAATATCTGATGACTAATTAAATATTTATTGAAAGACCTAAGCTTAACTCAAATATATGTATCTTTTTTTTAAATTTAATTTTATTTTTTTTAAATTTATTTTTCAAGAGAGGGGAAGGGAAGGAGAAAGAGTGGGAGAGAGATATCAATGTACGGTTGCCTCTCAGGCGTCCCCTGCTGGGAACTGGCCTGCAACCCAGGCATGTGCCCTGACTGGAAATTGAATTACGATACTCTGGTTCACAGGCCCACGCTCAATCCACTGAGCTATGCCAGCCAGGGCTATGTATCTTCTTTTTAGCCACTTGAAACTGTAGGTATAATACAACTCAAATAAAATAGTTCAAATTTTTTATTAGTATCTTCTAAAATGATCAACCATAGCAGGAAACCTTGTTTTGAACATGGCATTAGAGTAAAGGTCAGTAGTTTCCTGCCCTAGGTAAGATATATCATCATCCTAACTATTCCTGTCATTCTTGTGACTTACTTTTTTTGATCATGGGGAAGTTATTATCTGAAGACATGAATATTGTGGTTTACATGGATACTGAATTACTGCATTGTTTCTCTAAGGCTAGAAATGCTCTTACCTAATTTTTATCTTGTCTAAATTTGGAAGGACAATCTGAGCCTTGTTATTTTTAGCTGTCACTGAAATGTCATTCTCCATAAGAATGAATGTTATTTAGGTTGATATACAGGCCTTCTGTAGGTGCTGTAGACTATAATTTGTATTTATAATTAAAAAAATTAGTTACCTTCTTTATGTGGCATATATTTGTAACAATATAATTTTTTAGCTTTATTTTTGTTCTTTTACTGTGGGGAATTACAAAGAAATAAACCCAGAGCACCACCCAATTAACTATTGCTTAAACAGAAACATTAATAAAAAAGAAATATGTATTTAGTGTTTGTAAATCAACACAGGATAGTGAGCTCTCTATATTTCTATCTGTCTATATAAGGAAGAGTGATATCTCCTTTATTTCCCATGCCCAAGACTTTCTCCCTAAAAGAAACTGTTGTTAAAACTTTCTGATGAGAGAAACATTGAGGCTTCCAGCCAAGATGGAGGCATAGGTAGATATGCTTTGCTTCCTTCCACAAACAAAAGAAGGATAACAACCACTTTTTTTAGCTTTTTAAAAAAGATTTTATTTATTTATCTTGAGGGGAAGAGAAGGAGAGAGGGAGAGAAACATCAATGTATGGTTGCCTTTCGTGCATCCCCTGCTGGCAACTGGCCTGCAGGGAACCAGACTGCAACCCAGGCATGTGCCCTGACTAGGAATCGAACCTTGATTGTCTGGTTCGCAGGCCCGCGCTCAATCCACTGAGCTACACCAGCCAGGGCCACCACTTTAAAAACAAAAGACAACCAGAAGTGCCAGAGAATTGAACCGTATGGATGTCCAACAACCAAGGAGTTAAAGAAGAAACATTCATCCAGGCCAGTAGGAGGGATGAAGATGGACAGCTGGGACAGAGAGGACATGTTGCAAGGCAGTGGCTGGTGGACCAGGTGGTCTCACATCTGAGTGCGGATAATCCAGGAGGAACAACTAGGGAGTGAGACAGACCATGCAATACAGGGGTCCAGCACTGGGAGAAGAAAGTTTCAAAAACTCTGGCTATAAAGACCTGTGGGGGTTGCAGTAGTTGGAGAAGCTGCCAATCTCACAGGAGAGTCTATTGGAGGGGCCCACAGGGTCCTAGAATATACACAAACCCCCTTGGAATCAGCACCAGAAGTGTGCAATTCAGTTGTGGGTAGTGGAGGAGATGAGTGAGAACAGAGCGAGAGCTAAGCAAGCAGCACTGTTCCCCGTCCGATCCCTCTCCCACATACAGCACCACAACAAAGTGAGGTGGGTTGCCCGTCTTGGCAAATTCCTAAGACTCCACCACTTACTACATAACAGGTGTGCCAAGACAAAGAAAAATGGCTCAAATGAAAGAACAGAGCACAGCTTCAGAAAAAGAAATAAGTGACAAGGAGATAACCAGTCTATCAGATGCAGAGTTCAAAACACTGGTAATCAGGATGCTCACAGAAATGACTGAGTACAGCTGCAAAATAAAGGAAAAAGTGAAGGCAATACATATTGAAAGAAAGCGACATACACAAGGAACCAACCGTGAAGGGAAGGAAACTGAGACTCAATTAATGAGCTGGAATAAAAGAAAGAAATAAACATTCAACCAGAACAGAATGAAGATACAAGAGTCAAAAAAATCAAGGAAAGTCTTAGGAACATCTGGGACAACTTTAAACATAACAATATCTGAATCATAGGGGCACCAGAAGGGGAAGACAAAGAGCAAGTAATTAAAACTTATTTGAAAAAGTAATGAAAGAAAACTTCCCCAATCTGGCTAAGGGAGTTATACAAGTTCAGCAAGCTCAGAGAGTCCCAAACAAGTTGGACCCAAAGAGGAACACACCAAGACACATTATAACTAAATTACCCAAGATTAAAGATAAGGAGAGAATCTTAAAAGCAGCAAGAGGAAAGGAAAGAGTTACTTCCAAAGGAGTTCCCATAAGAATATCAGCTGATTTCTCGAAAGAAACCTTGTAGGCAAGAAGGGGCTAGAAAGAACTATTTAAAGTCATGAGAGGCAAGGATCCAAGATTACTCTGTCCAGCAAAGCTATTATTTAGAATGGGAGGGCAGAGAAAGAGCTTCCCATATAAGGTCAGGTAAAAGAAGTCCCTCACACCAAGCCCTTAATATTTGAAATGTTAAAGGGACTTATCTAAGACAAAGAAGATCAAAATTGTGAACAGTAAAATGACAACAAACTCACAACTATCAACAGCTGAACCTAAAATAATAAGAACTAAGAAAACAAGTAGAACAGAAGCAGAATCACAGAAATGGAGATCACGTGGAAAGTTATCATTGGAGAGGTGGAGAGGGAGAATGTGGGAGAAAGGTACAGGGAATAAGCAGCACAATCAGCAGGTACAAAACAGACAAGGGAAGGTTAAAAATGGCACAGGAAATGGAGAAGCCAAAGAATTTACATGTATGACCCATGGATATAAACTAAGTGTGGGGCATGCTGGAGGGAAGGTGGTACAAAGCAGGAGATGGTAAAGGGGAGAAAAAATGGGACAACAGTAATAGCATAATCGATAAAATACACTTAAAATGTTCCGGTCTCCTTTTCTGAATTTTATTTGTGCACAAAAGGGATGAGGCAGCATGCACTATTCTACATATTTTCCTGCACTATCCATACATAGAGATCTAGCTTTTGCACAGCACTTACTATTAGATGAACTACTTTAACTTGTTGATCCCTGGTGGTTGTTTCCATGTTGTTTTTAATTTTATTTATTTGCTGTTATAAAAATGCTGCAATTAATACTGGATATTCTGGCAGACTTTTGCAAGTATATCCATAGGGCACATTTTCACCAGTTGGATCCCTGAGCAAAGAACACTTTTTAATTTGTCATCTATTGTGAGATTGTCCTCTTTAGGGTGTTGGCCATTTACTCTCTGTAATAGTGTCTGCAAATGTCTGTGCCACATATTTTTAATGTAATAACCTAGGGTAAATTCATAGGCTTATAGTGTTATGTGAAATGGGCCCCCAAACTGATGCTGTCTTTATGCTGCTTTATCATTGTTACATTCTTGCTTCCTCTTCTGCAGAGAAAAACCTCCAGTTAGTCCTCCTCATGACTGAGGGTGGCTGAATACAAGGGCTTCCTGTGGCTTCCCCACATAGCTCTCAAGCTGCTTGGTCTCTGGGAAGCCCTGTTGTTGATGTGTTTTGTCTGTTTTATACATTTCCTGCAGGAGGAAAGCTGAACAAGGACCTACGACACTTTCTCAACCAGAGGTTCCAGAAAGGGTCTCCCGATCACGAGCTCCAGCAGACAATAAGGGATAATCTGTATCGCCATGCTGTGCCTTGTAAGTAGCCAGTTTGGGCACCTTACTGATGGGTGGGTGTGTGAAAAGTAGAGGGAGAGAGGAGAGCTGGTCTGGAACACGTGATGCTCACTCAGTGGCTCTGTAAATCTAGGAATCATAATCAGCAATGGGATGTACAGAACAGGGCAAGGTGAATTACATGGCTTTCAAGTATTGGCTCTGTCACTTACTGGCTTACAATGCCAGGCAAGTTATTTCTTCTTTAAGGTTCAATTTTCACATCAGTGAAAAGGGTATCTCAGTCATACTAATAACTTCATAGAACTGATATGAGGAGTAAATGAGATGAGGTATGCCAATTTTGTTTAATGTGGGCAGGGTGTAAGCTTCCATAAATGTTAACCATAATTGTTATTCATGGCGTGGACCAGGCCTTTGGACTAAGAACCAAAGGGAGGGGGTACCTATGAGGTAAATTATTGGCAGCTCAATTGTGGTGAAGTGTTATCATGTGCTACTAAACTTCATCCCTGTACAGCCAGTCATAAGGTAGGAAACCTGCAAAGTCATAAAATTATTTGATTTCATTTAAAAGGGAAGAAAGAATGATTCTGGAAGTTTTCTTGTCTCCTCTCTATTACCCCATCCTTTAAAGTTTGAAATGTCTTTTTAGAAATATTGTATTTTAACCAGGAAAAGAAAGAAAGAATAAATTGAAGTTCAAGGTACCTTGCTTATTGCTGTGATTTCATTTTCTTTAAAAGATAACATTTCACAAGTGCAAATATTTCCTGATACCACTGCAAAACAATAAACATAACCTAATCGAACGTATCCCACAACTCTGCAAGGACTTGGACCATGCATCTAGACTGGGACCTTCAGAGATCAGATTCTAGAATAGACCCCTGCCCTCCATTGTACTTATTGAAAGAACTGAGGCTCCAAGAGGAAGTGAGGTTGACTTCAAGTGACCTGGATCAGTGCTCCAGAGTCGCCCCTTTCTGCAGAGTAGCAGAGCTGTACTGAACAGAGAAATGTCATAATAAATTAATGGGAAATTCTGGCTCTCATTTATCTTGGGATTTCAACATTGGAATTGAAAACTACAATCCTAATAGTATCCTAATAATAATTCCTTACACTTGGATTAGTAATAATTTTTTAATATTAGTCACATGGGTAAAGCAGGATTATCATGCTATTTCTATAGATCAAGAAACCAAGACACTACTAAGATAAGACAATAAAAACAGGCCTAACGATGACCAGGGCCTCAGGCCTCCTGCCTCGGACATACTGTCCAATTTTACTCTTAGAAAAAGCTTTTGAGACCCTGGTATTTTTAATACCTATTTTATATATGAGGAAACAGTCGTGGAGAGATGAGGTAACTGTTAAGTGGCACCTCTTTAGCCATCAGGGCTGTTTCTGTAGCTGTACTGCAGCCGTCTCTAAAGTTCTAGATCTTCAGTCTAAGTACAGTTTTGCAGAATCATGATTGTTCTCTGTGTAATTTTTTCTCTACTTAGATTCCAATTTAAGAAATGGGAAATGAAGCACACGAGCACACCATTTCTTGACGCATCTGTGGTGTTACTATGGTTACATTTTTGGCATGCTTTCCCATTTGTGTTTTCCACTGATTTTATTGCACCTGACTGTGAGCTAAATGGCTTGGTTTTAAGCTTACCACTATGTAGGAACTGGAGCAGAAATGATCTTGGCTTTTTAAAAACTGTGAAAAGTCATGTTTTATCTTTGCTTGCATGAAGGCCTTGGTGTTGATGTCGCATTTCTGTGACACCAATAAATTAGGAATTTGGAACATGGAAATGGTCTTCCTACTGAAAAAAAAACAATTAGCATTTCATTTTACATTTCCTTCATAAAATGGAAAGGAAGTTCAGAAGAGGTCTGTTTCCGAGTCCGGCACAGTGTGTGTGCCTTTGAACATGAGGAGGCCAGGCGGGACTTCGGATTCTGCTGTAGGCTTTATATCTCCAGCCACTTTTGTGTTTATTTGGGTTCTTTGACCCATGTGACTTGTAAAGCAGAACCTCTGTACCAACCTGTCGTGATAATTGGTTAGGAAGCCACCAATCTGGAGAATGGATTTTCCTGGTATAACCATGCCATAGGGAAACAAGTACGTGTAATCTCTGTTTCCCAGAACTTCCTGTTGCTGCTACTTCAGCGACTTCGGTACTTTGAAAAGGGTTAACCTCATGAACAGGTGCTTGCCAGTCGGGCTAGCATTCTTTATTTATACATTTTAGGAGGCTCACATATCATTAGAAATTAATAAATAAAGCCCCTTTGTTCTCGAGTTCTTTTCAATGTCCTCTAGTGCAGTAGAGCCTTATGCGCACCATGATGGGTTTACCATTGAGGCTCCATTTCATCCTCATCCCTAGGCAAAGACAGGGCAGGTAATGGTAGCCCCATTTCACAGGTGAGAAAATGAAGCAGCACACATGATTTCCTCAAAATCAAACCTCTTCTAAAGGCCTCAATACCCACATCTCACTTAGTGCTATTTTAATTGCTTTACTGAGATATAATTCACATACCATACAATTCACCCATTTAAAATATTCATCCAGTGCTATTTTTGTTAGTTATTATTCTCCACTCCACCTTTTATTCAAAAACTTTTTTCCCACAGTATGAAAAAGGTCATTACAGTTGACATATGATTATACTTACCATTGAAAATCACCACACCCCTAAAATAATTAGGACAGAAAAGAGAACTAGATGCAGAATGAGTCAGAAGTCCTGATGTGAAGGCTGGGGCTGCTGTGTAGCTGTGTGGCCCATGCAATCACGTAAGCTCTCTGGTCTCATTTACGCTTCAGTAAAATGGAAATAGAAACACCCATTGCAATCACCATCTCCCCAGACCCTGCCTACAACCCTCAGAGATGGGTCCGTCACAGGAGTCAGGCTCAGGTAAGTGAATCGCTTGCCTAGAGTCACTTAGCTAGCAAGTGGCATGGTCAGGGTTCAGACAGTTCTAAGTCTCGTGGGGGGTATAATAAATAACACCAATTAGAGCAGTAGAATGTGGATCACTGAGAATGGAAGATAAAAGGAAAGAAGCTCCCCATTGCTGAATTTTATAGTTCTGGCTGTTTAAAATGATGGGGTTTTATGTCTTGGGGTGGGGGCTATGTAAGACACTCTATCTTAAAAATAAGTGTCTTCTTCCTGAATTTCAAGTAACTTACTTGTATGTACAATGGAGTTTTAATAATTACTAATGATTATTTAGCTTTTAAAAATCATTACAGGATTCTCTTGAGATATCTAAGTTTATCTTATTTTTCATTAGGTATCTTCTTAGTATACTTGTGGAAAACCACCTTTAAATAAATAGACTTGAAATGTGTGTAAATGTCATCTGTGTTGCTCACTTATCTGATTCCTCAGAGCCATCTGGATAATACTCCTGTCTCCTGCTCCTTAAAATTATTTTAAGTTCTCAACCTCCTCTCCCTCAGTGTTCAGCTGTATGAACTTCATCAACTCCCCAAACATAACTGGTGTCTTTTTATAACTGGGTACATATTATTTCTCTTAACTTTCCATGTGATCAATTCACAGCCTTCTTTTAAGCTTTAAGTTAGATACCACTTCCTCCATGAAGGCCTCCACGGATTGCATCTAGTGCCTTCCTCAGTACTCCAGGAATCATCTTCTGTGACTCCCATGGTACCTTCTACATGCTTGTCTGTTCTATTACAATCCGACTCTTCTGGGGTTGGGGGCTGTAGCTACCTCAATGGCCAGCCTGTACCTAGATTAGTGACTGGACCATGGGATAAGTATTTGTTGAATGAATGAACAAATGAAGAAATGGATAAAGATGCTCTTTGTTTTTCTGTGTTTTTTTTTTCTTGGCTACTTTGCATTTGGGAGAAACAGCAGGGCTGCTTCTGCCATAAAGGTTTTAGAATAAAAGGCAGCTCAGAGGCTTGAGCCCCTAGATGGCTAATAAGGCCTCCACTGATTACTTGGCTGGTAAGCCAGGCCCAGAGGGAAAGTCAAGGCTCCTGTGAGCATGGAGCTGCAGTGCCCATTCACACTGCTTTGATTACAGTCTGGACACTCCGCACCTCCTGTATGGATAGCCTTCCTGCTTTGTGACTTCTTGTCTAAGCTGGTATGACATCTGAGATGCTTGCTTTGGAATTGCTGCTTTTCCTGTGAAGATAAATGTGTCACCTGACAGGGCTTGTCATTTACTACATTGTGGCTGTCGAAACGAGCTACTACTCATCCTGTAGTACTGGTTCTCTGGAATGCTGAATGACACCCCGCCCTGCTCTCCTCTCTTCTCTTCTCTGGGCTCTACTCTAAGGAACTCTCTTTCTTTTTCATTTTTGAAATTTTTAAATTATTGTTCAATTACAGTTGTCTGCATTTCCCCCCACCACTTACCCCCAACCCAGCCAAATCCCCCCTCTCCCTTGTTTCCACCCTCCCCTTGTTTTTGTCCATGTGTCCTTTATACTAGTTCCTGAAAACTCTCCCCACCATTATCCCCTCCCACTGCCCCTCTGATTACTGTCATATTGTTTTTACTTTCAGTGTCTCTGGTTATATTTTGCTTGCTTTTTTCTTTTGTTAATCATGTTCCAGTTAAAGGTGAGATCATATGGTATTTGTCCCTCACCACCTGGCTTATTTTACTCAGCATAATGCTCTCTAGTTCCATCCATGCTCTTGCAAAGGGTAGGAGCTCCTTCTTTCTCTCTGCTGCATAGAATTCCATTGTGTAAATGTAGCAAAGTTTTTTGATCCACTCATTTACTGATGGGACCTAGGTTGCTTCCAGCACTTGGCTATTGTAAATTGTGCTGCTATGAACATTGGGGTGCATAGGTTTCTTAGGATGTAGTCCAGCAATGGAATTGCTGGGTCAAAAGGCAGTTCCATTTTTAGTTCTCTGAGGAAATTCCATACTGTTTTCCATAGTGCTTGTACCAGTCTGCATTCCCACCAACAGTGAACTAGGGTTTCCTTTTCTCCAC